CTTCCGGATGACCTTTGCAGGAGCTCACTTGGCTCCAAGAATAGGGGGAAAGGGTGCCGTTTGTTATTATGTAAAGCCACATCCCTAAAGGAACTCAGTGTTCTTATAGATATCTATCTGCCCTCTCCTCTGAGAACCCATGAGTTAGAGTGTAGCAGGCACAGGCTCCATTTTGGGTGTTGGTGGTGGTGGTGGTGTCGTCTCTTGTAAGTTGAACACCTTTAATGCCCCTTCAGGCCACAGCCCCTTTCCAAAGGTCCCGGGGCCAGCTCAGCTTCTCTCACACTTTCAGGCTACCATGCTTTCCATCATTTTGCAGAAGTCTGCCTGGGGTCATATCTTGCAAAGGAAGAGCTATTAAAAAAATATTCCATTTGTATTTCCTGCGTGGCCCTCCATCTGGAAATATCTTTTATCTGGCAACTTTTGCAAAGCGAACTGAATTTTGAAGGAAGTCCTGGCAGGTTTATGCTGGCTTCTTTATCATTTCAATAAGTCATTTCCATGCTAACCTTCATGAGGGTCGAGTAATCGTGACTTGGTATCGGAAACTAGGCTGGCATGGAATGGCAGCAAGTCCTGAGGGCCCCAAGGCATCTTTTTAATCCTGAAAACACCCACTTGGAGGGCAAGAGCGAAATCTAGCAGAGTATTAAACACACTCTCTCAGCTCAAATATTACTGCTTCACAGAAGTTCCCCCAGCCCCTTGTGACTAGATTAGGACTCGCCATTATTATATGATCTTCCTCCCAGCTGAGGTCACAATTTGTAATTCCACATTTTGTGATTGTTAAGCACTGTCTGGCTTCCCCAAAGACTGCAAGGTCCTTCTGCTCAGAATTTAATCCAAGAGCCTTGCTTAGTATCTAGCACGTAGTTAGTACCTAATAAATATTTACTGAAGGAATGAATGAATGAAATGTTTCTTACCTGCCTCTCCACCAGGTACTTCAAGTCCAGGTTGGAAAATATCTTCTTTTTAGAACTGCTGTTATTGAAAGAAAATGAGAGGAACTTTCTGGTACGAGCTAGAAGTGGAATGGAGAGAGAGAGGGGGGAACAAAAAAAAGTTCTTTATCTTCAGTTAGAGGAATGTTTCCACAGGTCCCTGATAAACTAGGGACAAATGCCCCCAGGGCTTTCTGATAGTGTGAGGGTCCTTGATAGTGTGGCTGGGTGGGGCAGGCGGAGCTTTGGCATCAGAGGGCAAAGGGATGGATTCTAACGGTTTCTTCTCTGGTTGAAAAGGCTGCTTCCTGCCCAACTTTTTTTTTCTTCGTTATGTATGAGCTCAGTTTATAAATGTGAAGGAGCGGCCCACTTCTCCAAGTGTTTGGAGCCTGTATATCAGGAGCTGTCCTATTGCTGCTGCTGTGGCCTTGCAATTGGCTGCCCCAGCTGGTCTGAGGAGGCGAGTGTGCTGTTTGTGTCTCACACTTTGCAAATCTCACATTCCTTTGGGTCTCAGAAATCCCCCACCCCAAGTTATAAAGGGCAAGCAGCCAGGCTCCCACTTGACAGGAGAGGAAATTAGGCCAAAGTTATTTCAAATCTCAAACCTGTCTAACTTAGAGAGCCACAGGACACCTATTCACTGGACTCTGGCATTCTTGCTCACAAGGAGGTCTTTTGAGAATTTATTTTTCAAGAGGAAGAGTTTCATTAGGCAAAAATCAACTCATTTGTTGGATTTGTCTTTTGAGTAATTCAGACAAAAGGCTACAGTTAGGAATAGATAGGCCTATTGCAAATAATAAATACCTTTTACTGAGCACATACTATGTGCAGGAGATTTTTATATGTTTTGTCTTATTTAACCCTAATAACCTTCTGCGATCAATAGTAGTAGTATTTCAATTTTACAGATAAGAAAACTGGGGGTCAGAGAAGTTCAGTAAATTGCCTAGGGTCACACAGCTACCTAAGTGTAGGAAACGGGATTTGAAACTAGGTCTTCTGACCCCAGACCCTCTCTCTTATTACTCATCATGTCAATGTGTCCCAGATTTCCTGCATTTGCTTGTTAAAAACACATACTCTTAGACCCACACCAAATCTACCGGATTAAAATTTCCAGGGGCCTCAAAAAGTCTTTCCTTAGACACCCAATCTAAAGTATCCTCCTTTTGGGGCACTAATATACCACTATTTTGTTTTCACCATTGTACTTATCACCACCTGATTTTTTATTTATTTATGTATTTTCTTATCGTCTTACCCCCCCCCCCCCTTAGTGACAAGTTTTATAAGTGCAGGGACAAGATGCCCAAAGTTTTATCTCCAGAATACTAAATGTATAGTACCTAGTAAGTACTCAGTACATATTTACTGAATAAATTAGTAGACATTGCCCAAAGCATTGAGTTAAGAAGGATTCTGAGTCTGGACCCAGGTTCTGGGGGGAGGAGCATCATTACAGAATACTAGCATCTCCCAAGGCCATGGAATGAGGGAAGGTTGGCACACATGCCATGTATTTGCCGTCCCAGAGAAAGAAACTCAATCCCAAGAAAATTAAGTGCAAGATGACACAGCAAGTCAATAGGAGAGGCAGGTATCATGTAGTCCCGTCCTTCAAGGAACTTCATCTCCTACTTGGGAAATCAAAAAGAACAGAGAACAAATACATGATAAACAATGAGGTGCTAACCAAAAATACCATCAGATTGGATTAAGGAGAAATTGGAGTGGGGATAGCATGGAAGGCTTTCTACAGGGAAAAGAAATTGAATTGTCCTTTGATGAGTAAACACCTGGAAATTGCCTTTGTGTCGGGCTTGTAATATGAGTTTTACTGAAAGTCGTTTTGTCTGTTTGTTTGTCCTTAGAATACCCTAATAAAGTAAATAATGTAATCATAACTTTATGGATGAGGAAACTGAGTCACCGAAAGGCTAAGGAACTTCTTCCAGGTCACAGAACTACGAAGGACTGAGTAGGAATTAACAGCCAGTGATTTCAGAACCGGTTTTCCTAATCAACCCAGTAAACAGAGCAGGTGTTGCTGGCAGGAAACAGCCTGAGCAAGGGTGTGGGTGTGGGGTCAGGAGTTGGAAGTGCAATTCTGGGGTAGCGATGGAAGGATGACAGAGTTAGATTTCCTTTCATTAAAATATTGTTGTGGTTCAACTTGGCAACTGGTTTTCCAATGCACCAAATTTGAGCCATAATCATAAGTAACTCAAAGGTTTATTACTGACTAGTCCCTGGCAAAGTGAAGGGAGTCCCTGGGCAAGGGGCCCACTGACAAGAGGGCTCCCTGACATCTGCAGGGAGAGAGCCTGGTCCTGGGGACATAGATATAGGACAGGAGTCCCTCTTGAAAAATGCCAGGTGGTGGTGGAGGAGGCAGGTTAATTTCAGGTGCCCTGTTCCAGTGGCTGGCAGGGGAGGGGGCAGTCAGGCTGGGCAGGGAAATAAAAAAAGGGCAGGATGGGGCCGGCCGAGTGGCTCAGCTGGTTAAGAGCTCACTTGGGAGCGCCAGCTCTGAGCAGCAGGGCTGCGGTTCGGATCCCACATTGAGGGCCAGTGACGCTGCGCCCTCTACAGCTAAGATGATGAACAACAGCTTGACCTGGAGCTGGGCTGCTGTGAGTAGCCAGCGATGGCGTAGNTGCTCATTAGACTATGCCTTGCATTGCAATGATGTCATATGTTTATAGCACCTTGTCACCTCAAAAATGTCCTCTAGTCTTGGGGAAGAGAGGCCATGGTTTGCAGTTCACTATCTCCCAGGGTACAGATATAAATTTGGAGATACTCAATAATTCCTTTTGAGTTAAAGACTTCAAATATCACACCCATGTTATTGATTTCCCAGTTCCTAGATTCACGTTGATATTCACCAAGACCTGAAGACCTTTACATTGGTGAGGAGGGTTTCTCCAGAATCAGTATTGAGGATGGCCCTTGTATTTGTCAGTCACAGACCTCTTAAAAACCTGGTAACTAAAGCTACAAAACTCTTAGAAGAAAACATAGGGGTGAATTCACATGATATTGGATTCGGCAATGATTTTTTTGAATATTACACCAAAAGCACAGGCAACAAAGTTAAAAATAGATAAATTGGATTACATCAAAGTTTAAAACTTTTGTACATCAAAGGACACTCTCAACAGAGTGAAAAGGCATCCCATGGAATGGGAGAAAATATTTGCAAACTATACATCTGATAAGAGGTTAATATCCAAAATACATAAAGATCTCCTACAACTCAAAAACAATAAAACCTAACCAATCCAATTAAAAAACAGGCAAAGGACTTGAATAGACATTTCTCCAAAGGAGATGTACAAAGGGCCAATACGCACATGGAAAGAAGTTCAACATCACTAATCATTAGAGAAATGCAGATCAAAACCACAATGAGATACGCCTTTACACACATTAGGATGGTTATTATTAAAAACAAACAAACAAAACACCAGGAAATAACAAGTGCTGGAGAAACTGGAACTTGTGCACTGCTAGTGGGACTGTGAAATGGTGCAGCTACTGTGGGACACAGTATGTAGGTTCCCCAAAGATTATACATAGAATTACCATATGATCCAGCAATTCCACTTTTGGGTATATACCCAAAAGAATTGAAAGATATTTGTATATCTATGTTCATAGTAGCATGTTCACAATAGCCAAAAGGTGGAAGCGACCCAAGTGTCCATCAAAGATGAAAGGTTTAAAAAAAAGTGTTATATGCATACAATGGAATATTATTCCATCTGAAAAAAGGAAAAAAGAAATGCTGACACATGCTACAAGATGGATGAACCTTAAAGACATTATACTAAGTGAAATAAACCAGTCACAAAAGGATTCTACTCATATGAGTTACTCACATGAATTCTACTCATATGAATTTGAATAGTCAAATTCCTACAGACAGAAAGTAGAATGGTGGTTGCCAGAGGCTAGGGGAAGGAGAGAGAGTTATTGTTCAGTAGGTATAGTGGTTCAGTTTGGGAGGAAAATAAAATGTTCTGGAGATGGGTGGCAAAGATGTTTGTACAACAATGTGAATGTACTTGATGCCACTGGACCTCAGAATGGTTAAAGTGGTAAATTTTATGTTATGTATATTTTACCACAATTAAAAAAACAACAAAAAACCTGGTAAAAGTTAAATACCATTCCTTAGATGTACATCTGTGCCAACATGCAGAATTTTACCTATAATTTCAGGGAGCCCACAACTTTCTCAGGTTCATGTATGGACCCATTTAACAACCCCAGTGTTATGGTGAAGCCAGTCCTGTGAGCGCTGAGACATTCTTCAGGTATCCCAACAGCAATCCTTGCCGACTTAGGCCTTTGTGGGCAGTGCTGGTCCCTGACTTCCGGATGACCTTTGCAGGAGCTCACTTGGCTCCAAGAATAGGGGGAAAGGGTGCCGTTTGTTATTATGTAAAGCCACATCCCTAAAGGAACTCAGTGTTCTTATAGATATCTATCTGCCCTCTCCTCTGAGAACCCATGAGTTAGAGTGTAGCAGGCACAGGCTCCATTTTGGGTGTTGGTGGTGGTGGTGGTGTCGTCTCTTGTAAGTTGAACACCTTTAATGCCCCTTCAGGCCACAGCCCCTTTCCAAAGGTCCCGGGGCCAGCTCAGCTTCTCTCACACTTTCAGGCTACCATGCTTTCCATCATTTTGCAGAAGTCTGCCTGGGGTCATATCTTGCAAAGGAAGAGCTATTAAAAAAATATTCCATTTGTATTTCCTGCGTGGCCCTCCATCTGGAAATATCTTTTATCTGGCAACTTTTGCAAAGCGAACTGAATTTTGAAGGAAGTCCTGGCAGGTTTATGCTGGCTTCTTTATCATTTCAATAAGTCATTTCCATGCTAACCTTCATGAGGGTCGAGTAATCGTGACTTGGTATCGGAAACTAGGCTGGCATGGAATGGCAGCAAGTCCTGAGGGCCCCAAGGCATC